GAGTGGCAGGGATCTAACGTAATGACCTTCACTTTTAGAAAGACTGGTTTTAATCCAGATCCCACACTTTTATTGCTTTGGGGATTTTACTGCCTCTTAATCACAAAAGCAATAAGAGTTTCCAATATGTTCATCTGCCTCACTTAATCAATTGTTCCAGCTGCCAATCACAAGAAATATCTGAAGGCAAACTTAAATGATTTCAGCCAGCCAACAGAACAGCTGTGGCCTCCTGGGAATACTGAAGGGTCTACACAGTGAACTTCACCTTTTCCTCAAGCCTCTCTGACATGTTGTATATTGTTTCACAGCAGGCTCACCATTATTGCAGTGTAGGTGAGCAGCATGGAAGGGATTTTGTCGGTACTGCTCTCTCTCTCTCTCTCTCTCTGTGTGTGTGTCTAAGGTAAGCACTGAAAATTATTGCAATGTCCAGAGCTCGGTCTATTTATGGAAACTATAGAAAAACTGGATAACTAAAATTAAGTGAGAAGTGCCCTATAAACCTTCAGTAATAGCAGAAATAATACTATAGTATATCAACTTGATCATTATTATGAACTTTGCTGAATGCATAGTGATATTAGCCATCTAATCTAATTTCTGACCCCTGTAGGGTAAAAAGTAACACATTTAACATGCACCAAATCAGGTAATCCCTCTCATGATACAGAATAAGCTTTATTATTATGAGATGTGCGACTGGTTGCAAAGAACAGGACTCCTTTGCGTTTGAAAGAGTTTATCTGAATAGGTGCAGTTTTCAACCCTGCCTTGTAATCTGCATAGACCCAAACGACCCCCTAAGGCAGTCTCCCTCTCTCTGGGCCATTCTCTGGATCTAGATTCTTTCCTGCAAGAAGAGAAAGTGGCTTTCAAGAGAGAGGATAGATCCCCTCACAAAAACAATAAGGTTAACTCCACAAATACTGTGAAGCATTGTATTATTCCTGGGAATGTTGCCTTGTTGTTTGTTTTTTTTAACTCCACCTTTAGAGCAGTTCATTTCATTTAAAAATGGTACTGGAGGAGAGTTCTTGGATTGCTGTTGTATGCCTTCAAATTATTTTTTACATATGGTGACTGATGTAACCTAAGGCAATCCCTATCGCAGGATTATATTAGCAAGATTTATTAGGCTTGCCTTTGCCTTCCTCTGCGGCTGAGAGTGTGACTTGCCCAAGGTCACCCAGTGGGTTTTCATAGCCAAGCACAGATTCAAACCTTAGGGCCCTTCCACACAGCCCTATATCTTAGAACATCAAGGCAGAAAATCCCACAATATCTGCTTTGAATTGGGATATCTGAATCCACATTGCCATATATTTCACTTCAAAACAGAAAATGTGGGACTTTGTTCAGCTGTGTGGAAGGGACCCTAGTCTCCAGAGTTGTAGTGAAATACTTAAACCACTGCACTACACTGTTTCCTTCTACAGATACTATAGGCTAATAAAAATGCAAAATGTGAAATTTAGGTCTCAACTCTAAATGGAAGTCCAGATAACTCAACTGCGTACTTTAAACATATCTAGAGACAATGCCATTCATTGAAAAAGCCAATAATACTTTAGAACGTGGAAGGTGGTAGGAAGGAGGAAAACCATACTACAGGTAGATTGATTCAATAAAGCCATGGACCTGAGTCACAAGCTGTAAGCAGGGCTTTTGATAACTAATGCTCTTGGAAGTCTCTCATTCACAGGATCACCATAAGTCAAACTTAACTCGAAAACAAACAACGATACAATGGGTTGACTTTTAATGCAAAAATTGAATTTATTCAGTAACCACGTGTATTACGATTGAGATACTTCCCTTTATTTTGTGTATTCTACACAAAAAATGTACAAAAAAACTTTATTGGGGTGTTGTGGGGTTTCCGGGCTACATGGTCATGCTTTAGCAGCATTTTCTCCTGACATTTCACCTGCATCTGTGGCTGGCAACACCTCAGTGATTTCAGCCGTGAAAGCTTTTGACAATGCAAAAGCTTTATTGATTATGTCTTCAAAGAGTCCCTGGTTTTTGTTCACGTCCAAACCAGATTGATCCCTTTCACTGAGAAACTAAATGTATAGATTCAATAGCTTTTCTTTCTAGCATAATATTGGACTTTATATCAAAAAAATAGAAACTGTGCTACCTATTCAGAATGTATTTTATATCTCTTTGTTGTCTTCTGTTATGGACATGTAGCGTCAGAGTTAAACAACCTTGGAAAACTACTCAATTTTTGATTCACTGCTCAGGTAAATTATTATTTCTCTAAGAGGTCCCCATTCTATGTTTACATTTTGGTAAATGTATTTATTCAATGCATACGTGAAACTCAGAATATAAACCACTGGAGAATTCTACTTGAATGAAATGAGTAGTTATCCCTGACCTATACCCTGAGTAATGTAAAGGGGAAAGTACTGTCTCAAGGAAAGAGATAAATAAACATGTTAAGAGATTGATAGCTATAACAATGAATAAATATATTCTGGTACACAATATATTATCCAGTGAAATGTAATAACTTGTATTTACATTGACAAGGAATGCTTTCAGACAAATATGCAACAGACAAAAAGACAATGCCTGGTAGTGATTTATATAAGCCTAACTTACACTACTATGAATCACTTTTGGGTTGTTGCAGAGATTGAGATTCTTTTCCAATCCTCTGCAGTGACTAACTAACATATCCCTTAAACCAGGCATCCTCAAACTGCAGCTCTCCAGCTGCTTGGGCTTTCAACTCCCATAATTCCTAACAACTGAACAAGCTCTTCAGGGCTTCTGGGAGTCGAAGGCCCAAACAGCTGGAGGGTCGCAGTTTGAGGATACCTGCCTTAAACCCACCTTTCAGCTGCCAAAGGCCCCTTTTCCACACTTCTCTGGTCCTTCCTACTCTCCCAGTCACTAAATCTCTGCGGAGGGAAGGCACTCCTGCAATTAGGATTGACTTTGGAGGAATATAATGTAGTTCTGCATGCAGATGATTTATGCTTATCTCTGAGACTCCAGTATTTTGCCTATCATGTAACTATTTTGCCTTTCTTTCCTTAGCAGATTTTTGTTGAAGGGCTGTCAAAAAAGGGATAGAAGAAATGGTGGGAAAACAGAAGAGGGATGCAAAGAGGGTTGCATTTTGGCAAAGATAAGAGTATGTCAGTAAACCTATCGGTGGATATTAGTCATATTCATTTTCACTATCACAATTTTGGACCGAATTAAATGGAATTCTGTTTTTCCTCATATGAAAATACACATATCTTGGTATTTTTATTTATCGTATCAGAAGAGAACTGAGGGTACAGTTGTAATTGTTTTGTTTTTGGTTTTTTTTAAACACAAAGTTTAAAAAACTTGGCATTATACTAAATGTCCTTTGATCAGTAGTTGGCCACTTGTGGAGTGCCTCTGATGTTGCTGTAAGAAGGTCCTCCATTGTGCATGGGGCAGGGCTCAGACTGTATTGTAGTAGGTGGTCTGTGGTTTGCTCTTCTCAACACTCGCATGCTGTGGACTCCACTTTGTGCCCCCGTTTCTTAAGGTTGGCTCTGCATCTCGTGGTGCCAGAGTGCAATCTGTTCAGCACTTTCCAAGTTGCCCAGTCTTCTGTGTGCCCAGGAGCGTGTCTCTCATTTGGTATTGGCTATGACTTGAAGTTCTGAGTTTTAGCCTGCCACTTTTGGACTCTTGCTTGTTAAGGTGTTCCTACGAGTATCTCTGTAGATCTTAGAAAACTATTTATTGATTTAAGGTGTTGGCGTGCTAGAATCTGAACAGGGGATGGGCCGGAGATATCACTGCCTTGGTCCTTTCATTATTGGCTGCTATTTCCCGATGGATGTCAGGTGGTGCAATACCAGCTAAGCAGTATAATTTCTCCAATGGCATCAGGCGTAGACATCCTGTGATAATGTGGCATGTCTCATTAATAGCCACATCCACTGTTTTAGCATGGTGAGATGTGTTTCACACTAGGCATGCGTACTCAGCATACCCAGCAGAGTATGCACAGATCTTGGTATGTATCTTTTTAAATACACATAATTTCAACACATTTTTCCATTGACTAAATCATGTTTGTGAGTACTTTCAAAACATATTTCTTTAGTCACACACTTACTTATAAATCAAAATAGAAAGTTAAATAACCTCTTTCATATTTTCTTCCTGATAGTGGAATATGTGTATTCCTTCATTAAGTGTTTTGCATACCATAAACTAGGTACTTTTTTTTACAATAGTTAATACAAATTTCTTTTCTGGATATATGTTGCCCATTCCAACACTAAATATGCAATTGGTTTTCAGAACACAGTAAAGAACCTGCCCAACTGCAGTTCTGGGAAAAGCATGTCATCCAAAACCATGCATGGCTAATTCTAAGCTAGTTAGAATTATCCATACTATTGTATTCCCTATTTCCATATACAGTTATAAAAGCAGGACAGTGAAAAAAGCTGACAGGAGGGAAATCAACTCATTTGAGAGGTGATGCTACAGAAAAGTTCTATGGATAAGTTCTATCTTTTTGAATTTGTTGTACCCTGCCACGAGCCACCAGGAGAGATAAGAAATAAATAATGATAATGATAATGATGATGATGATGATGATGATGATTATTATTATTATTATTATTATTATTGAGACTGTGGACTGCTAAAAAAAAACAAATAAATGGGTCCTAGAACAAATAAGGCCTATATTTTCTCTAGAAAGTTCTTAAATTTGGCAGAATCATGCCTATTTTTCCAGGAATTATGTAAACTAATTATAGGGTTGGTTTTTTTTGCTTTTGTTGGCTGTTTCTTTGCAGTGATTTATGCTGCAGTATTTATGCCACAATTTTAATATGATAAATTATTTCCAAATATCCTATAAGCTTCTACTTTGATGGAATGTTATGCTCCTTCTGCATTTAATATCTCTTTCGTTTTTGGTCTTTTGCCTCAGGTCACATGGAGCACCTGTTCTTATCAGTTTTTCATCCTTATCATACCTGTGTAAATGTCAGGCACCAGTCCTGGCGATCGTCTCACACTGCTATCTGCAGCATCATGTGGAGATGTGGATGGCTGAAAGGTTTGGATGGTGAGACAGTCACTGAGAATGTCCTGGTCAATCTCTGTGTTGGAACGCAACTGAAATACAAACACAAACAAACAGAAAATCCTAACTGTGGGAAAAGGGCTGATATGGAGACAAGTTCACATGGGGCTGTTATGATCCCCAAACTGACAGTATAAGACAGGCTAGGAAGAACAATCACTGTGTCAAAATAGGAACACCAGGTCCAAGGTATGAGCTGGCATTTCTTTTTTGGGAATGCCAAGATAGCATTTCTGCTTTGCATTACCATCACTGCTGGAAGAAAGAGTTGGAAGCACTGTATGGATATTCAAAGAAACCAAAACGTATATACCAGGAATTGATAAACTTTGGCCCTCTAGGTGTTTGGACATCAATTCCCACAATTCCTAACAGCCAGTAGGAAGTTAGGAATTGTGGGAGTTGAAGTTCAAAACACATTATATAACTCCAATGCAAATTGAACAATTCTTTTATCATTTCATCCATTATGTTCACATTTAGCAGATCATTTTGTCAGTATACATGTCATGCTTTGTCTAAGAAAAACAGAACAGACAGCAAAAGCTTATTATGGACCATGCTATTATGTTATTCAAACACTCCTTTTAGCTCTATAATGTAGTATAATTAATAACCAATCATGGCCTGATCATGAACATGGGACAGGAAAGGATATAGAACCCAGACATTTAGAAGAGCATGACTGGATTGCAACCCTGTTGGAATAGGATGCATCATATGGATGATAGGTACAGATCACACTTGAGAATAATTATAGAAATGTCACATACCAATATACCTATTGTCCAGATGTTGTGAAATTTGCTGCAAGCAACAAGAAGCAGCATTAGAGCAGAAAAAACAACAGTAGAGGTGGGCTAGAGAGACAGACAAACAAACTGGATCAACAAAAAGTCTACTAGTTCAGAATTCTGTCCACATAATGCCCAATCTATGGGAACACCCAAACAGGACAGGAATGCAATAGCAACCCACCACATGTGTTACTTAGCAATGTGTCAGAGCCATTCCACTTTTAATAGTGCAGGCAACATATAACGATCCTAGTTAGCAGACAGTGTTGGACCTATTCTCCATGAATCTCTCTCAGTGAGTTGCTGGCTCAAGCTATTCTCTGTAAGGGGGGGAAGGGGGTTAAATTAGAACATGATGTCTGAGACACAAACTGCTTCTGTGTGACATGCCACCTCAGCAGTCGCCAGACCACACATTCTTTACACCTTGGCAAAAAGAAGAAAGAACAGATGTTAAGGGCAAAGCACAACATTTTTTTAAAAAGTACTAGTTCCTGAAGCTTTAAAATTAATTGCCGTTGTAGTTGTTACTGTGTGCCTACGAGTCATTTCTAAATTATGGCAATCATGAAGCTTATTTGGAAGAATTCATTCAGATGAGTTCTGTCCTTGATGTATTTTGTTTTATTTGATTTTGTTTTCTTCCTTTGTCAACTTGTTCATTTATTTTGTATGTAGTATTTATTGTATTTACTTATGTTGTGAGCCTCCCCAAGTCCTTTCAGGGAGATGGGGCAGGATAGAAATAAAGATGATGATGATGTCTTCTGAGATTGAGAATGTGTGAACTGCCCTGGGTCACTCAGGTAATTCCATGACGAAGTAAAGTTTTGAGTCTTGGTCTCCTAATGTTCAATTCCAAACCTCAAGCCACCATACTAGACTATTAATTAATTTCCCTATTCTCCAAAGTTCATAAAATATTTGCTTTCAGTTACAGAATTGAGAAAAAAATAGAAAGCTGTGAGATGCTGACATGTGAGACAAAATATAACCATGCAGCCTCTGCCAACAATAAAATATACAAAGAAAGAATAGATTTTTTAAAGTGATCTATAGGATTCGTAAGAAAAAGTAAGAACACTATACCAAAATGCAGCCTTCACCTCCAAGCAATGATACCCTGGTGCATTGTACAGAAATATTTTTAAATGTACATTTAGAATGCTGCTTTTGAAATACAGCTTTTTTTTCTCCTCCAAAATAATCAGTTGCCTTTGAATAAACACGCAAGAATGGGGGGGAGGGGGGAATCCATAAAGGTTTATATGAAAGCCTAAATAAATTTCACTTTAAAATAAATTGCACAGAAAAGGCATGTGAACAAAGCACTCCGCAAACAACTCCTTTCCATATTGAAAAATGAGAAGAAAATGATTTCAATATATCATTTGTGTCTGTAGCAACAATGATAATGAAAAGGTGCTTGAAGCATCTTTTGACTCCAATCAAACACTTCTGAATAATCCCCAGACAATACCACCACTAGAACCACCATATTCTTAAGGTTTACAGAAACATAAATGCTACACAGTCTGAATCATGTTTTTCCAAAGGTCCAGGTTTATGGATTACAAATGTTACTGATGACTCATTGGTCTGTAATGAAAAAGTGGATTTCCTTGTCCATAAACTGTTTGCAGCTGTACTGCCCCATTGGGTTTTTAAAAAATGACACACTAACAAGATAGTAGTTTCACAAAGACGAACCAAAAAGACATAAGACAATTAGCAAAGTGTGTGTCTCTATGCATGTGCCTTCAAATCTCCTGTAGACATGATAACCCCCCCCCATGCATTTCAAAGAGCTATCTTATGCAAGGAATACTCAGAGGTGTTTTTTGTCAGTTCCTTCCTTTGAAATATAGTCTAGACCAGAGGTCTCCGAACTAAGGCCTGGGAGCCCTCCAAGGTCATTTACCTCCATTTACTCCTGCCCTAAACTTTAGACTTAGAGACACCCTTCTGAAACTACTTGAAGACACACAACAGCAACAATCTTAATTAACATGACTACCTCATCAGCCAAAAGCAAGCCCACAATTCCCATTGAAATACTGCTATGTTTATGTTGGTTAAAATTGTTCTTTGTTTAAATATTGTATTGTTCTTTATTTTTTCTTTTCTTTTTTGACTACAAATAAGATATGTACAGTGGGCACAGAAGTTAATTCATGTTTTTCCCCCACTATAGTCCAGCCCTCCAACAGTCTGAGGGACCATGAACCAACTCTCTGTTTAAAAAGCTTGAGAGCCCCTGGCCAACAGCATATGGGTTCATTGGTTGACTCTCATTCAAGGACTAACCAATGTTAACCATGCTTAGCTTCCAAGATCAGAAAGGATCTGACGACTTCAGGGTAATTATGTTGGAGTGAAGGCACTTCTCTATAGAGAAGAAAATGAGGATTTTTTTCTTACATGATTAATGTATTGTCATGTAGGATGGAATTGTGATATCTGTACGTAAGGAATCTGAGGTCTCATCTACACTGGTCAGTTGAGCAGCCTTGGTTGCATCACGTTCGTGTTGAATCCAAGACCATTGTTTACATGGTCAGGGAGAGCAGCTGTGTCACCATAAGCAATTCTCTTAGCTGGCCAAAGAGCTCCATGCAAACTCCTGAACAGTATAGGTGGCTCTGCAGATGTTAGAATGGGGAACCCAAATGATACCCCTCCTCCTTCCAGGTCACACAGGTGCTTCGTTCTGACATTGGTAGAGGCATCTGCCTGATCATTAAGAAAGAGGAGAGACTTCCTGATCGCACGAGTGCCTCTGCCAATGTCAAAATGGGACATTCATGTGATCAGAAAGAAGGAGGGGAGTTCCACAGATTGGGAGTAGTCATTGAGAAGTTACTGAAAAGAGGTGAACTGACTCTCCGGAAAGCCTCTTGGGGTGGCAATTTATCTTTTAAATCTTCACTGTGCTGTGTAACATTTTAGGAGAATGTACAGAAAGTTTCCACACATATTAATTCTTTACAATAAAGTGTTGAAAAAAAATCTTTTTTAAAACAGGAAAAAGGATGGTGCTCTAACAACTTTTGACATCCTTTCTCATTTCTTTCTCGTACTTCTTTCCACACTGGGACTCAGATGTTTCTAATGCTGTAACCATGAACTCTGCTCTTCATTACTTACCAGCTATTCTTACTATCCTGCATGTGCATCTGTGAGGTCAAAGATACCATCTACATTCCCCATATCCTTATTCTTAGTGCAAGTACTGCAGTTGGCGCTAATTGCTGTGAAACACTGTTCAAGAAAGAGTAACCTTTCCAATAAAAATTTCAAGGCTACAGTATTTACCTTATATTTATGTGTGAAGATCCCTTTACAACTTGGCTTACCAGCAATTTATCTGCTTAAAATATATATATACAAAAGAATCAGACTGTGAAGGTGCTCTCTTTATAGGCATCACAAGTATCTGTAATTGGACTTGGGGCATCAGGGGAAGGAATGAGTGAAGGAAATAAAATTAGAAGAAATTGTGCTTTGAATGCTTTGAAATGATGAACTGCAAACAAAAATGAAATAAATGCAAAATATAGGCAAGCAGTGGTAAAAATTTGTGTGGGTTCCTTAGCACAACTATATAAAGGACTAGTATAGAAAAACACACATGCATTTTTTATAAAGGGGTGAAGCTAGCTAAATCCCAGACTTAACACAACAATATTTTGATGGTTACAAGGAAAGGTGGATAAAGCAATTTATTTTTAACATGATCCTTCATGGATATCAATCCACTTCCTCAGATTCACTAACTGAGTTGGAAGTACAGCCACAAGCATATTGGAGCTGCAAGAAGTAGAGTCAGAATGTAATGGGATACATTAATGCAAATTGTAACCCAAAGGTAAGCTTTCAAATGGTTATGTGATATAATACAGGTCTGTTAAGCAGATGAGAATGCAAAACTCAAAACAATATTAAGGAAGTCAATATGTAAAATGATACTGAGGAAATGAGTGAGATTTAAGGCTATTTAGACAATACCAGAGATACCAGAGGCAATGCCCAAGAAAAATGTGAAAATAATGCTAAAGAAAATCAGTTTCCTGGAGCTGGAAAGGTTTTCTGAGAATTTGCACGTACATGAGCAGTTGTTAGGATCTAATATGAATAGTAACCATTATCTCATTTCATATCTCTGTTGATGGTCTGGAATTTATAAATATATCCTAACTTCACATTGTTTGGCATGGGGGCATCCAGCCAACTAC